CCCCGTTCGGCCATGTTTGTAGTTTTGTAGCAACAACACAGTTATCTACTGACTAAAAACTGTTTTTTAAGATAAAATAAGATAAGATAAAACTTTATTGATCCCACAGTCTGGAAATTTGCACATTACTGCAGCTTAATACAAGAGAGGCTGAGAAGAATAATGAAAGATTAATAAAAGATAACAAACAAAACCCCACAATATACACATGTGATATATAGTAATGTACCAATGCACATATACACATACACCGTAAAGTACAGTACAAAAATGAATGTCTATGAAGGTGCATATTAGTGATGGCAGATGGCAAAAAAGTATAAGGATGTCAACAACGGTAGACTTGTCAATCCAGCCTTACATGTACAAGCCAGAGTCTGACCCAGTGCAAGACACTCAGAATGACAAACCTGCAGAACCATGTCTTCAAACTAGTGGTGTCCCGATCCGATATTGATATCGGATATCTGTCCRATATCAGCCAAAAAATGAGTATCGGATTTTATCAGCCTGCATAAAAAATATCCGATATATGCGCTCCAATATTAGCAGTCTGTTCCAGCAGTTCACTGCCTCCGCTCCACTGTTTCTATCCAGCAGCGCTTGGATCAAGCATGCAGCGCTCACGTGATCACAATAACATGCTGCGCTAACAAGTTAGCAAGAATGTCGGAAGCAGAACTTTCTATTTTCATTAAAAACAGAGTTGAAGCTAAGTGCAAAGTTGTCACACACAAGTTTTCCGAGGGGGCACAGAACCATGAACATTTTGAACCGGAGCGAGAACTACTCTCCACCCTGGCAGCAACTTTGCGGTTCGGCTTGGTTCAGCCTCGGTCCAAAAGTGTCTCCATGATTCCAACCAAGCAGAACCTCCTCTCACGCCAATGGTTTTAGCGGGCAGAAGCGAGGACAGCACACTTTTTACGGTTTTTACATCAGCAGACTGTTGCCCATGGATTAGCTCTTGATTGACAGAAGAAAAGAAGAGCGCAGGTTTTGTTTTGGAAAACGAGCATGACATGACGAGAGCAGTGATAAAAACTGCTCCCTGCAGGAGTGAGAGGCTAATCTCCACATGATGCTCAGACTGTAGAAGGTATTAATAATTAACTGACTGATTCTTACTATTTATTTTTGCTCTTGTTTGTGGAGTGATTATATTTTATAATTTACTTTTGTGATCAATAAAGTATTTTTTAATTGAACAACTACAATATACTCACACTCACTGTACAGATGTGAAATTATTTTAAATAGATTTTTGTGCTTGACTGTTAGTTTGAAATGTACAAAAAGCAAATAAAATGTAATTGTTTTGATTTTTCTTTACCAATTAGCCTATTGATTTCCATATGTCAAATCAGAACTTAAATCATAATTAAATGATCAGTCACATTCTACTTTGGAACTGTAACTAATATTGTATGTCACAGGTCTGTGGGACAGCAAAGAACCTGGAACCCAAACGTCTAAGCCAGATAAATTTCAAATGCCACAAGGCAGAGCATCATTTCAACTCTAACTCCAGGGCTTTAATGACAGAAGTACTCCCAAACACACCTCATCATCTTTCACACCTCATCATCTTTCACTCAAAGACTTCAGAGATGGTGTTAGCAAAGCACAAATTCAGCCACTTTTTCTTCTCCAGAAAACACTAATTGGAAAGTGACATGATGATGTACTGACAACATTGAATGTAAGAATTTATGTACTTTATTACTCCTTGATAAACAATAAAGTGTCAAATTACATTCATGGTTTTGATAAAAAAAAATCATGTTTACCTAAAATGCAAAATTATATATGTTCAATAGCTTTTTCTGTATGTGGAATGCATTGCCTTCATAAAATATGTTGGCAACAGAAGAAAAAAATGGGAGCAATCAAATCAAATAAATTTATCACATACACAAAGTTCATCTTGCAGTGAAATGTTTTTATGACAAAAATTGAAGTTTAAAAGTACACAGAACACAGTAAAATATCCTGATTTTTTATTTTTTATTTTTTTTTGTAGAATGAAATATGACCCATCACATCAAAACAAGGATTAAGTCCAAAAGTGGTGTATGGAGAAATAGGCAAATATAGTGTTTTGACTAGTAAAATTATAACAAAAATTGCATCAGTCAAAATATAATGAATAAAAGCCTTATCAATGTCTCAGTTGAATGGACTGTCTGAAATATAATCATAAAACAAAATTAGGAAGCACTATTATGAGCAGTAGCAACAAAAAAACTGATTTTGAGGAAAAACGCCTTAAAATTTTAAAATTTTCCCTGTGAGCTAGCAAAGTTTTTTGTTTCTTTTTAGCTGGGAAATCTCAATATTCAAATAAAATTTGAGGTTTCCTCTTTATAAGGACATCAAAAATTCCTCATTAAAATTACATCAAATTAGGATGCAGACCAAATATTTATGTATTGTTGTAAGCAACAAGACAAATTGAGTCATATATATGGATTCAATTATGATATCASAATGATCCAGGTATCAAAATTTAGCTTTTAGCTGAGTTCAGATGTGGTTCAGAGGGTGGTGTGAAGATGTGGCATCAGGGCGTGTAGTGAAGACRCGTGCATCAGGACGTGTAGTGAAGACAGGAGGTGGTGTGGAGATGCTGGCCTTGTCTGGGACAACTGGAGATGAATCCACAGCGCAGTCTGGAAAACATCAACAACATTAAAATGTACAGAGTCTTTGCATTGTAGAAACAGTAAAGTGTTACTTATTTTTGTAATTTTTGTTTAACATTGTGAGGAAAAGTTTCTCATTCAACACTTTAACACATCACATGCCCTTGTGACACGACTTTGAAAAAGGGAGATACAATTAAAGTATGGATGATTTTTGATTTATTGAAATCAAGTTGGCATACTAAAAGTGACTAATGTGGGAAGACTTACTTAGGGTTTCAGGAGTTCTGATAGGCTTTGCTGTGCCTTCTCCCTTCTTGAACTTGGGAAAGAATAATCTATATGGGCTCCCCAGATGAGGTAGTTGCCTGCAGACGTGCATTTTCATTGAAATGCATTGCAGCCAGGTATAGTCTGGTTAAAATAGTATAAAAGAATATTACATGTTAGTTTGAAGTTGCACCATTAAAACTCATCTAACACACAGTATTTTGAATAACGAAAAAAACAAAACAAAAAAACGTAAATACAGAGTGACTAAAACAACACTGCAGCTGATATTTTTTGGCCGATTCTTGAAGCCGATACTACTTTTTCTTCCTCCCTCCATTAACACGATAAAATAAGAATGATAACAAATGTTACACAAGTCTTAATTTAAAACAAAACAAACTAAAAAAACATTTATTAAGTAAGCCGAGTCTGATGAGGCTGTATAAAGTGCTGCAACACAGGATTTCTTCTTTCTGCCCTTTCTTTAAAGTAAAATAAATAAATAAATTCATTACTTATTTTATCTAGTGCTAAATGTTCTGTTTTTATTTGTGTATTCATAAGATTAATATATTTTGTTACATAAAATGACTATGTTCCCAGCTTTTGTGATGCAAAAACAGCAACACGCCTAAATAAAACTCAGAGCAACAGAGAGAAAAAAGGAGAGACACACATCCATCTTGCTATCCTTATGAGGACTTCACACACAGCGCTCACAGCTTCTCTGCCTCATTCTGCTGCTCCCGTTTTTAACACCAGGCAAAAAATGCATTTAAAATGGCTGACGTTAACTTTAGATCACAGTTTTAAACCCTCCGGCATTTTTAAAAAGAAAAATAACACGGACACGCTGATTACAGTGCGGGGCGAAAGCAAAAGTAAAACATGGTGCTGAGCAACCGTTGGGAAAAGAAACGGCCGTTCTTTCTCCCCTCATATTCCGACACAGAGGGTAGAAACAGGTAAATTAGACAGTTAAAACACATTTACAG